GTGATTACCTTTGGGAAGATAAGAACAAGATAACTAAGGACACAAAGGATGAGACAATATAGGATAGCATCATTAAATCGTGTTTTACCATTCTGGTACAGTAGTTATGACACAGCCAGTTTGTACTTAAGATCACAGAGATACAGCAGAAAACCTGGAGAGAAGTGTGTCAGAAGTTATAATAGCTTCCTTGATTCTTTATTGATACTCCGTCTACAGATGAACATACTGACTCATTTCACCATGGAGGACACGTTTATACATGATAAAATAAATCAGTTCTGTAAGTCAGTAAAAAGAAATGTTATCATACCCCACGCTTCAAAAGCGCAAGGGTATATAGTAACCGGTATGTCCATCCGTCTGTGGCCTGTACGCCCGTCCAGCTGTTTCCCGGCCACAGCAAAACATGAAGTTTGTCATTATAACCATATGGGGGGTGGAGGGTATCATTTAGTGAGCTCTTTGTTAACGGTGCCTCTAGTTATTCGTGTCTTTTTTTAGAATTTATGAATGAATTTATCATATTCTGAACAGTGAAGTACTTATAATTAGAAACGGTTTCTATCAATAATATTCCTGTATACTGTATTTAAAGGCCCGGTCCCACTGGCGTTAAGGAAGATTTACGTATGAACTGCGCACAAAATTGGTTTATATTCGCTAAACATTCGCAATATTCGTGAAACATGCTTGTATGAGTCGGCCGACATCCGTACACGTTCGCAATTATCCGCAAAGGCACGTTTTTCCGTTGCCAGGATTTTTGAGCTGCTCAAAATTTTGATTGCGGATGACATCCGCCTTGCATATGCAATACATACGCAATGCATACGCAAAACATACTCGGTCTTTGCGCTGTATATCCGCTGGTTTCCGCCGATATCCGCAACTGACGGGGTATTGCGGTTTGGCAGTGGACTGGGACAGTGTGTAAAACGGATATATAGCGTGACTATCACGTCCATATAACGAACTAAAATAATTCGTAGCGAATGCATACGGATTGACCACAAATAATGCGTTTGTATAACGTCTGCTTTGCATCTGATTTACGAACAAATTGCGAGTGCATAACAAACACTTCACGTAAACCCAAGTACTATATAAAGTAGCAGAAATAGACATATTAGCCAGTCATTGCCAGTGTAGCTGTGGAGAAGTACAAATATAGTTATGGATCCTCGAAGACGTTTGATAGTTGCTGCCATCCAACAACATAACAATCAACTTTTCCAAGTTCAGCAATTGATGCAGAGGAGGAGAAGAAGGCGAAGAAGAAATCATAGAGCTGTTTGGGTGAGACCATGGATTGATAGAAGACTGGACCTTGGCATGTACAATAAGCTGATGATAGAGCTGCGTAATGAAGATCCACATGCCTTTCACAATTTCATGAGAATGTCCCCAGCCATGTTTGACGAAGTGGTGAACCGGCTCACTCCCAGACTGACCAAGGAACAAACCAACTTCAGACTTAACTTGGAGCCTGGTCTCAAGGTGGCAGTAACCCTGCGCCACCTGGCCTCTGGTACAAAATACAGGGACATGCAGTATGCCTGGAGGGTGCCACACAACACCATAAGCAAAGTTGTCAGAGACGTATGCGAGGCCATAGTGGACGAGTACCTTGATGAGCAGATGACTTGCCCAACCACCGAAGAAGAATGGCGGCAAATTGCTGATGACTGGCTGCAGAGGTGGAACTTCCCTCACACCATTGGTGCCATTGATGGCAAGCATGTGGCATGCAAGGCTCCCCCAACACAGGGTCGGAATACTACAACTACAAGGGCTTCTTCAGCATCATACTTTTTGGCATGGTCAGTTCCGACTACAAATTCCTCTGGGCTGACGTATCAGGAAATGGCGCTGCATCAGATGCCCAAATCTACAACCACAGTGAGCTGAAGCAAGGTCTAGAAAGCGACAACATCACGGGTTGGCCACGTCCAGACCCCCTTCCCAATGACACACAAGATGTTCCCTACTTCATTGTGGGTGATGATGCTTTCTCCCTAAGAACATACCTGATGAAGCCATACAGCGCGAAGAACCTGACCAGGGAAGAGCGCATCTACAATTACAGATTGTCAAGGGCAAGGAGAGTGGTAGAAAATGCCTTTGGTATAATGGTCAATAGATTCCAGGTACTGCTCACCACCATGCAGCACCATGCTGAAACAGTCAGGCTCATAGTGAAGGCTTGTATTCTGCTCCACAACCTGATGCGCACCCGATACCCAGTCCTGCAAAACTTTTAGACCGTCAGCTGCAAAATGGACAAATGGAGCCCGGAGAATGGCGAAGGGGCCAAAACCTATTTCACTGTGGAAGTCCAAGCACCTAACAGAGCTTCAAAAGAAGGCAAGATGCAGCGCAACCTCATCAAGCATTGGTGCAATTCACCTGCTGGTTCCGTAGCCTGGCAAGACAAAATGATAGACTTAGTGTAAAGACAGACCTTCAAAACACTGGTTCATTTCGCCACCTTCTTGATGATTTAATTAACAAGAATGTAATATTGGATGATGTATAATAAATGTATGATGAATTTTGAAGTTTGCCATACTTTTATATCAAGTTCAAAATGTATTGTCTTTCATTAATGTAAGGGAAGTCACAAAAAAGAGGCACATAAATCAAAGTTAACAAACACTGTCTTTTATTTTGTTCATAAGGGACATTATGAGTACTGAAAACATCAAATAAACAAGTGAACTGTCCATTGCACAATATAGGCCATAAATCTACTGAGAGGCCTGTGGAGATGCAGGAGTCGAAGGCAGTGGAGCAGGAGGTGTGTTCAGGGACCTCATGGAAGACAAACTGTCATCCCCCGATCCACTGAGTGACAGGTTCATGGAGTCATCCAAGACGTCATGTGTCAATTTCAACACTTGAGACAAAGTGTCTGAACGTCTTGGCTGGTCAGTGGTACCACTGGTACTTGTCTGCTGAGAGTGTGCTGGCTGGTACTGGGGGAAAGCAAGTGATTGTGTCTGCTGCAACTGCTGAGTTAGCTGGTACTGGGGGATGGCAGGTTGCTGTGGATGCTGGAACTGCTGTGTTAGCTGGTACTGGGGGTGATACAGGCCCTGAGGAGGGGTAAACTGGGACTGTGTCGGCTTGGATGTTGCAGGTAGAATAGAGTGGAGATTAGTAGACGAGGAGAAGTCGATGGCGTTAGGGTTTTGCAGCAGGGATGTAATCTTTCTCATCATGGCATCGTACTGATGATCGGGTAGTCTTCTTAGCGTGTCCGACACGTAGGTAATGAAGGGCTCCCTGGGTGAGGATGGCTTCTCGCAAACAAGCTGGGACAGCAGTTGGGTGTTGGCCTTCATGCTGTCCCTCATCTCTCTCAAGCACTCTTCCTCAGCATCCTGGTGCCTTCTCTTCGTCGAACGGCTGGTGCCACCTCTGCTGTAGACTGCACCTTTTAAGGCCTGTGCAGTGGTCTTCTCTATATTAGAGAGCAGCCCTTCAGTCTCCACTTCCCTTTCGCGGTCGCCTTCGACAGGGATGACACTCTCAACTTCTGATTCAGCATCAGAAGCAACTTCTGCAGCGTCAGGGTCCACGTCACGAGGCAGCTGTAAGTATAAACAAATAAGTTAAAGTTCCATGGTTTTGCACTATAAAGGCATCAAATTAAGGAAAAAACAATTTGCACAATATTACTTACAGATTTCATGGGTGCAGACGACCGGTGTCTCAGCTCTCCCTCATAGAAGGAACACTTCTGCGGCACATATTTCTCTCTGTCTGTTAGCTTCTTCGCAGCCTGCCCAGACTTGACCTTGTGCAGCTTCACATACCATGTATGCATCCCCCTCCACCAGCCCTGCAGATGTTCAGAGGACACGTCCAGGTCCCTTCCTTTCTCTTCCCACAAGGCCTTCTTCCTGTTTGTGTCCTTAAACAGCCTGTGTCCCCTTCTCCACAGTAACTCATTTTCCTCCAGCCACTCAAACACGGCGTCCTCTTGTTCTGACGGGAGGGTGAAATTCATCCTTGGCTTCCTTTCTAGCTGCTGGTCTGTTGCTTTCTCCTTGTTATTTCCCCTACCCTTCCCCTTGCCAACAATAGGAAGTGTATCAGAATCTCCTGCATGACTAGGACCAGAAGCGACTTCCAGTACCTCAACGACAGCAGCGGCTTCAGGAGGTGGGGTGGGAGACCTGGCGACAGCCCGGGATGGCGCTGGAGGGGGCGGGGTGGGAGATGGAACCCTCCCTCGAGCTCCTGTATCAGCTTTAGTCTTCTGCTTCTTAATCCCCTGCCTCTTTGACCTCTTACGGCCGGACATGTTTTCGGTGTGGTGTTGGTATGAAAAGTGATGCTAAAAAGCCCGCGCTTCTTTTTTATGACCGCAACGCTAATGCCGCGCGTGCTCAATACAACCGTTGTTTCTGCAACACGTGCGGAATGCATTCTCAATACATCCGTGATACTTCCGAGATAATTGCAATGTATTCGATCCGTTTCCTCAATACATGCGATATACATCCGTGATTGTTCGTTATAAATCCGCAGTGTTTGCAATACATTCGTCAACATTTACCAGTTGTACCCCTCATGGAAGAGCATCCGCTATTGCATACGCTTTTATTCGTGAAATATCCGCTTTTGTTCGTCATATTTTCGCTATGCATATTTAATATATCCGTCATTCATACTACGAAATTTGTCATTTTTGGCCAATTTTGTTGCGAACGACAGCGAACGCCCGAAATTTGTATGCTAAATTCATGCGCAATTAATCCGCTCCCCAGTGGGACCGGGCCTTAAAGTTATTCGTTTGTATTATAGTTTATTGATCTCACAAACTTTAATGGAATGAAATTGTAGATAAACTGAAAAACAGATAAATTAAACACACATCTTTAATCATTCGATATCTTTTTTTTTATTTCTTCATGCATAAGTGTGTTAACTGTAAATATTTTTTTAGACAATATTCTTTTTTTACAGTGGAAAGTCCAATAAATAATTTAATGAGCAGCATAGATAAACGAGAAAAATTTCTAAAGGATCTTAAAGAAGAAGCTGAAGCTGAAGACTACAGGAAACGATCACGTGACAGTGTAGATAACGTGTCCAAAATCTGGAGATACTGGATGAACGCGAGACCTGACATCGTGAGATCCTGTATAGGTCTACATCCACACAAAGACATTTACATCATCGACAACAAGGCTTACAGGAAACCAAGTAAGAAAGAAACAAGATTGTCTTTCCAGAGAAATTGTTTGTCATCTCAATGGCCTCGATGTTGATAGAGAAAAAAAAATGAAATCTAACTTAATTACTTTCTAATTACCTGTTTTTATCATTTTCTAATACTTTTTTTTACTATATTCCTGTTTGTACTCTAGATACCATGTCAGAAATCTAAATACATAGTAATGGAACAATATAAATATATATTTAAGGAAATCGTCGAAAAATGTCGCAAACTATAGAAAATGTATGTCTCTCTACCGACGATATCAATGCATTGATAATAATTTTTTGAAATACAAAAATGTTGCCCTAAATTTATTGGAATCTTTACGATACGTATTTTATAAATATATGTCCTCTGCAAAAGTACATTAAAGCAGAGTTCGCGTAATGTTTGACCAGCCCATTGTATTCGCACTCATTGATTGTAAAAATCCATTCGCAAGCTCTTAACATTTGTACAGCCAACTCGTGCCATTGTTCACCAACACAAGTTCAATAAACCTTTATTATAAATGTAAAAAAAAAAACATGTTGACTGAAGTTGATAAAGCCGATTTTTTAGTTCTATATTACGCATATTTCATTTAATATCATATTTTTTTCTACTGGGGATACCTAAGTCTAAGACCATGATTAAGCAGGATTTTAAAATGTACAGTCTAAAACTTAAGACCGTAACTAGAAGCGTACTACATGTACAAACTTAGCAAAACTAAGGCTGCCGGTAGAGGTGAATTAAGTACATGTATATCTTAACTTTCTTAAACATATATTTCTTATACATATATGCTTACGATGTTAAAACATTTCTCTTTTCATATTATGCATTATAGAAAATAATTATCTCTATTTTTATTCTGATTTAAAAAAAAATAGTTTTTCGTAGGGGGAGGGGTGATAAGTTGGACATCGGTTATAGCAGGAAAAAATGAAACACAGTAATAAATCATGAATCATTAAGTTATAACTTTGAAAATATGAGATGATATAAATATTTTTTTAAAGAGAAAAGAAAGCAGATTATGACCAAAACAGCTGAAATAAAAAGTTAAAAAGTATCTGTAGGGTGAATAAAATATAGAACGCGACAAATTCCGAGAGATAAATGCTGATAATTGAAGACATGTGAAAAATATCCCTGATTTTTTTTTTTTTTTTTTTTTTTTTGCAGCCTTGAATAAATTGCAAATGAGTATATCAAAAAACGTATGCAGTCTTTGCTACTGACATACATGGCCTGATACACATAGGGGGATTCAAAATGTATTGAACTTTTTAGAGTTTCGATTTCAATTAGATAGACGGTCAGTTACTAGTATCTTGCCATGTCTGCGGGAATAACATAGCAGTTAAACATATGTCAAAACAAAAGATAACAAAACGTAAACTGTAAACACATCAAGTAATCGATAAATCAAAAGTCGTACAATGTGTATCTTTAATGATCCACAAATAGCCACGTTATGACCGTGCAGTATATTTGTTTTCAAATATTCCGAATGATTTATAACGGAATCATCATTTTAATACGAAATCTAATCTAACATTACTAAATCCGATAGGTAAAGACGTCAACCTTAATGTACATGTACATATTACATATTTAATTTAAACCGTAATTGATTCCTTTTTAGTAATATATCTATATTAAACTAGAGGTAATATGAGTAATGAGCTCACTAAATGATACCCTGCTTCCCATATGAATAAAATAGCAGTGTCCATGTTTTGCTCTGGAAAATCCAAAATATATGTCAGATCAAAAAGTAAAATAAGAGGAGCACAATGGCAATATGTAATAAAGATTCTGTGAAAGTTTCATTTAATTTCCTTCAGTGGTATGAGAGGACTTGCGGATAAGAGATGGGTATCCCAAAACGTAACAGAGGAATGGTCGGGTTTAAAAAATTTTGAAATATATTATGATTGAAGGATACGGAGGTAACCAACAGTATTCAATAGCAAAGTTCATAAAACAATTTACAAAATAGGAGCAGAGCAAACACGGACCTGCGAAACATCAGAAGTGTGATCAGGTACCAAGAAGGAATGAGCATCCCCTGTTGACCTGTCACACCCGCAGTGTGCTCCTTGTCATAATCGGGAAATAACGGAAAAAATCCATCGTCAATTTAGTGTATAATGATATAACAATTATTGTTTTGCCTTTAAAAAGTTCTTCCTATTTAAATTTATACGGAATAAGTCTAACATTTCTCATGTTTTACTGAGCGGGCATAAAAGAAATCGATGTTGGACCGGTCGGTCGATGAGATGTTGACCCGCTTATGTCACAGAATTGGTGGAACTTAATCTTATTTTTATTCGTTGTTGTTCAAAAGTGACGGACCTGGTGTTACAATAAGATAGTACAGAATACATGCATGAAAAAAAAATAAAATGAAAGGTTAAACAAAACTTTTATTGACGCAGTTCGCGGAACAAAACGTATGTTGCCCTCTAACTCAGTCAATAAGTATATAGTTTTAAAAAACGTCAGTCAGCATTTGTCTCAATGATAAACTGTATTTGCTGACAAGGTCATTGTATCGACCATAGGATTTACGAAATGATGACTATAAACGAGACTGCAGATATTCTTGTTTCATCAACTTGCTTGTCAATAGTTTACCTCCTTTTTTAGATATTGTTCATACGCAGAGAATGAATTGGGTATTGAATCAACTGAGATACAGTTTTAAAATATAAAAAAAATATAAAGGAAATCTGAATATGATTACATCAAATTTCCGAGGTTTTTACAATAGTTCTACTTTTTCTGTCACAATTTGTACATCAAATAAGGGGCCAGAATAAGCTTCCGACATGCATTTTCTTTTTTTTAATTTGTATTTCTTCATTACTAATTTTTTTATGACATAAATATAACCTTCCAAGTGAAAAGTTAATAGTTTTTCGGCTTTCTCAGTAAACTTTGATTTTGCTGGTCGCCAGCATGGCGCAGTTGTCCAGAGTTGCAAAGTAAGAGTTAATCATTACATTGCGGCTTTAAATCCACTGCTGAACGTGAATTTAGGTTCTTCAAATGAGACTGTATAAATCGAGGTCCCGTGTCGAAGTAGGTACTGGCACAAAAAATATTACTCCATGCTCAATGGCTTTCAGTGTCGAGTATGGGACAAAATTTGCAGCTCTCCACCGGGAAGTCGCGTCTCCATCTGAGTGAAAATTTCTCGAAACCGGAGAGGGACGTTAAGCAACCTACAATCAATCAATCAATCAAGCGATTTTGCTGGCGAGATCATTCGACAATCGTCGGCTGATTCTCTTGACTTTGTGATATGAAGATCAGATGTCGGAAAGTCCTGAGAAACTTCGAATGGTGTGCCGAGTGCTGTTGAGATTCGAAAACAAAGTAAACTATGTTTAAACTTATTGCATAAAATTTGTTAAGCTTGCATATAATAAAGATCAATTCTGTTCATAATGAAAATATAGATATTTTTATTTGATTGTAAAAAAAAACTAGAGTTATAATTTCGAATTAATTACTGACAATTTTTATTGTCTGTTTTGTCCACTGCTCTACAATTGAAAATGATGTCGCCAGAAAATTATTTTCCTTTGCCTTAAACAGCATTTCAACCGAATGCCTTCATCATGATATTTCTTCCAATCACAAAATAGAGGAAGTGCATAAGTTTAAAGACTGTAAAATACTTCAACTTTGTATACCGTCTTCCAAGACGGTACTTACTAGGAATGAATATATCAAAAAATCTTTTTATTTTAGATTTAATGCATCTACATTTAAGAAATACGTAATAAGTTATCTCCTCATCTTTTTTTGATCGGATTAACTTATCTGGTTGACAAAAGTAGCAATTAAAAAAGGGGAGCCTGTCCTTATAGACCTATATTCATTAGAATTGTATAAAGTATGAAGAAATGAAAAATAGATTGGGTGAATGTTATTTTTTCATGTATTTTTTTCAATTATCTATATCCAATAACTTGGTTATTTATTTATTTTTGTTTTTCTATTCAGGTAAATACAATAGCTGTCAGCCGGAAGTCCGATGTCTACTGTACTCCTTACTGTTTACTGAGAAATATCAGCTGAATCTCGATGAGCAATCCCACAGAACCATAAGGGACAAAATCAGAGACAGATATTTCCCCATGGTTACTGTAGAAAGCTCAGTAGATATACCACAGGAAATCACAGAAACACCTGATGGTGTGATAACGTTTAAATCAGACGACATCCGACATGACGTCATGTACGCCTTTGTTACGGAGTGTCTGGTTGAAGACAGTGATCTAGAGTTTTTCCTGACCACGGCGTCATGTGACGTGATATCAGAATACTTCCGGTCCTGGGGTTATAAAAGGAGTGAGGGAGAGAGATGTCTGTATGTACCGGACAGACCTGAGAAGATGTACGACCTCGTTCATAGATTACCTACAGCTGGACATCATCAAACACTGTACCATGTCAGATTGGGGAATTCATAGCAGGATCAGTAAATGTTGTAAGAACATTTTACCCCTGCATTTATTTTTGATATGAAATGATGTTTTATTCCTGTTATTATTTAGTGTATATTCGTGCAGAACATTATATTAATACTTTTGAGAAAGTAGTATTAAATTGTTAAAATGTAATTAAATAAAGTATATTCGTACATACCTTCAATTACATGATGTAATATCCTTGATATTTGGAACAGTACTTATCACATAAGGAATGGAATATTAAGCTGAAATATCCTGTCACACTTGAAAATAGTCACTATGTGTGGGTTTTTTTAATACACATCGGTGTTGGTGCACATCCTTTATACATTTTATAAAAAGATATGTCCTTGTTCGAAATAAAGTCCATGAATTTACAGTAAAAGTTGAAATTTTTGAAGCAGTAAACCAGAAATAAAATATAAATTGAAGGGAAGTATTTAAAGCTAGAACTTATTGTGGAGGTTTTAGTTTTTTAATGCCAGATTTTTTTGTTGAAACTTTGTAGAAATTGTGTCATTTGTGTTAAACTATATTTCTTTATATTTCACCGTGATAACTTTTTATAATACAGTTGGAGTGCCAGAAGAAATACTAAAATGGGACCAAGAGGCCAGAGAGCGGTGTGTGGAGTGCACTAGGAGATGAGCACAGAGGGTCCACCATGCCCAGGGGATGATTGTAGGATGTGCAGGGGCGGGGAAAACCACGCTTCTTAAACGTCTGCTCGGTTGTAGTGAAAAAGATATCAAGAAAGTAAAATCTACAGAGGGGCTGGAGGTGCATGAGTAAATATTTGATATATGTGATAGAACAAGATCATTAAAAGGTAAAGTTATAAAAAGCACTTAATTAATTTTTTCATAGATGAATATACTGTACTATATACAGTGAACCAAACTTCTAAGTGTTCACCTAACTGTTTCAAGGAAGAATTTTAAGAACAGATACATACAATAAATAATTTCTTGAATTCATTGTTAATGAAACATATTTCAGTTCCTTGCTGCGTTAATTTCATGTAGGTATCTAATCACAATTTTAAAGTGTCAGGGAAATGATGTACCCTAAAAATGAAAATTCACACAAACAAAAATCTATGGAGTAAGACCACAACTCGCTCTAATTACTGCAAGACAGCATTTATTTTTGGATACCATGTACCCCTGAATAGGAGATAGGCCTATCTTTTGCTACACCTACTGCATAGATGTTTCGAAACCGTTTGAATTGAGTGGAAAGATGGGGTGGGGGTGACATTACTTATAAAAATTCCAAATATGTTCAATGGAATTCAGATCCGGGAATGTAACAGTGCATCATCACACAGATGCATTTTGGTCAATATCCTTGGACGTTTATCACGTAAGTGCGCCGGTTTAAGGATAATTCAGACTGCTTGAACTGATATTAAACTGTCACGAGCGCCGATTTTTCTTTTCCAAATAATTTTCATACGATTTAAATTGTTTGTTTTCGAGTTTCTAAGATTGTTTCAGGACAATTTTACAATCTTTTAACCTGGTGTGATGCGAAATGTTGGCCTCAGACAAGGATCAAGGTCACTTTTTTCGGTTTGGTTAAATTTCTTCCACTTGCCACAAAGTACAGATTTGTTGTTTTTAAGCTTCGTCACGTTACATTGGTTTTCATCGGTGATATTTTCCTTTCTTTCTACACAATTGTTGAGAATATTCATTTGTTGTAATAATTTGAAAATATCATACCATTCTATGAAGTAGTATTTTTAAATTTACATTTATCAAAGTGAACACTTAGAAGTTTTGTTAAGTGTGTATATATAAATATGTTCCGTAGGTCGGGGTTCAACCCCGGGCTGGGGCGGAAGTGGGTATCCTCATAAAAGTGAATTTTTTGTGCTTAATATATTTCTAATATTTCTTCACTTAGAGTATCCTTATAAAAATGAATTTCTTTGCGCTATGTATATTAAAATTTCTTCACTTAGGGCAGTTATATTGGTTTAAGAGTTGATGTAAATTGTGCTTTATAAATAAAATTAATTTCATTAAAACATGTACAACATCCTCTAAAAAAATTAATGTGTAAATAACTGTATCTCACATATTCTCAATGAACCTGTAATGTAGGGTTATTTCCACATTAGTTTATTCAGAGGATCGTTACCAATACAGGTTGTAATGAAATTAATTTCAGGGTTTAACTATCGACCTACAGAATCTGTCTCCTAGCAGTACGGATATTTAGACCTATACGCTATCTAGGCAAGTCAAGAAACTTGCTTTCGATGCCAATGGAATTATCACAGAGCTGTCCTACACTACACTTTCATTGAGAAATAGAAGAATAGAAATCCATATTCAACCGATGCATAGGAAAAGTTGAAAATGGTTTTGAGGGATACAAAATTTAAATGTTACCCTCAATTCCATACTGTTTTTATCAATTTATAATAAATATTTTATGCAATTATTTGTTACACTGAACCGTGCGCACATAAATTATTCGCAGTCAATATTTTTTTTCGAATATTTTGCCTCGTTAAGGATACACCAAAGGCTTTTTTTTCAAGATTTTTGTCAATTTTGAGATTTTTGGCTAAGAAAACAATACTAATCACTGCTTTATAACGCATGAAAAATTCTTGCTGATTATTAAATGGTTTTCTAATTATTTGACAATAATCAAACATAAACACTAACACATGTGAATGTGCCGTTATTGAAGCTTCTGATTTGGAATGTAAATGCTTGCTTCTGAAAGGAGCAATAAATCACTGTGACAACATGGGGAATTCTTTACTAGCCACACAGAGGTTATCAGTAATTAAACTACAGGGACTCTAGAGTTAGGGAAGGAGATCTAACAGGTCACTAATGACCATGAATTTTTTGTGCATGAAATGGGAGGTGGAGCTTAGCTCTTGCCATTTTGCCGGGAAATCTTTCTGATTCAGAATTGAACCTATTTTACTTCATTAAAAGCACCTAAATAAAGAATAGGACCTCCCATTCTTGTGAATATGCATAGGAAATATGGATAAGTGACAGGTTTCCAAAGCTGATCTCTCCAAAGTGTAATATATTTCCAGCTTTGGCAGACTTTGTTGTGTAATGGGTTTTTGCCCTATACTGTAAAGTAAGATCAGTCAGTTGGTGGTATTATTTGAAAATATTCAGCTTCCTTATTTATTGACCAATTTCTCTGAAAACTGGCCAGAATGTGTCTCAAATGTGAGTTTACAAAACCGTATCTCAGATTTTTTATATCTTGCTCAGTTCTTGAATTATTGGGGGAAATGTAGAATTAGGTTAATAAATTGGTAACATTGAAAGACAAATGGATGTAACTTTTGAATAAGAAGACTTATCAAAAATCTGAGATATGGTTTTAAAGTTCAATCTTTTATCTACATTGATGCAAAATTTTGACTTTGAGAGGAGGAATACAAAAAAGTTGATTTACAAAATATAATTGCACTAATATTTACATTAAAATATTAATAATTTTTTAATAAGATAAAAATGAAAATTTATATTAGGATCATTAAATAGTGAATTTATTAAGCTTTCAAATGATATATACTTTTAATATGTTATCTTTGTTAATGAAAGATTTACTAGCAAATTAAATTTTGCCCCTTGGAAGCCTTTGGTGTATCCTTAAGCAGAGTTGAGTTTTGCAATGCGAAATAGTGGTTGCATACTATGTTTGTTATTGAAATGCACTCTCAACAACTTTTGAAATGATTATTATTTCAATAATGGTTGCAACACCCATACCATTGATCCAAAGTGTGGGCTTAGGGGAAAAGACATACATATGTAATTCTTTCGTTGGCATCACCCGAGGGCCATTCTTAAGCTGATTTCTCTTTTTAGCAAGACAAATGAAAAAAGATTATACAAATGGAGAAAATTCTGGTACAGATTTCGACGCAAAGACGCTTACTTTCTTTGACTTTGGGGGACAGTGTACGTACTACGCCTGTCACCAGATTTACCTGTCCAGGAGAGCTTTCTATGTTGTGGTGATGGACGCCTCTAAACGTCTGGACCAAAAGGTGGATAAGGAAGTGTGCGATCAAGATGGCAGTGTGTTCTCTGGATGGACGTATGGAAGTACTTGTAAAAATGTTATAACCTGTCTTAGCATTTGCATATTCTGTTTTATTGTATTTTGATGTATTATATTCAAACATGTGAATCTTAAAGGGGACATCTAAAAAACTTGATAAGACTACTAATACTTGTAGCAAGTGTACTGCCTAGATGTACAGTTTGAAAGGATATATGACTATTCAGTTTCTTTAACGTAAATTATTTAAATGTGTATATGCAGAACAATATACATGATCGCGATGATGCCAATTAAAATATTGCTCTTGTAAGGCTTGGTATCAAGAGCCAATCTTGTTGGTAAAAAATAATGTTCAACTCAGAAAAAAAAGTAATCCTTCATTATCATGTTGGATATTAATATGTGTAATCATAAGGAAGACTATTCATGTTTTAATCTATGTTTATTGTAGACTACTGTGTTTTGGATGAAGTCAATACACACCTACTGCGGTTCTGAAAATGATAAAGAGTTGAAACCCGTAGTTTTAATTGTGGCAACTCATTGGGAGGAAAACAACCGACAGGTTAAAGTAAATCATTGTAAATGTTTGAAGACTCCATTAATAAAAAAGTATTTCTTGTTTATTTTGAGCGAATTTACCTAGATAAGAAATTACATGCAAAAGAGTTGCCCAATTTAGACGCAAATATTGTAAAGTTATTTAACTTATATAAATACTAAATTCGAATTCTTCATCATTTAAACTTTCTTATCTATATACTACATTTTATAAATATATCTGTAGAAATACATGTGCTCTTTGTAAAGTAAAGATAATACGTTCTTCAAATATCTGGGGGTTTTTTTTTTACAAATCTTCATAGATCTAATATATGTAAAAAAAAAAAAAATTAAAATAATTACTTTCTGATTTCTTCAGATTTTGTATTTTGTTTAATTAATCAAAACACCAATGAATGTAATTTCGGCAAATGAAGTTTTACCTAAAAGAATTAAAAGGAAGCATCATCTTCTGGTATCTTATAATATAAATAAGTTTATATCTGGACTTGTCAATCATCTTTTGAGAAACCCAGCTTGAAAAATGGTTGGTACAAAGTGATTTGTATTGTACCTTCGTCCGTCCCTCGGTTACTCTATGGGATATCTATATCTTATCAGCAACTCCTCTTATACCACTGAATGAAATTTGATGAGACTTTCAAGGGATCCGTTTACATAATTCCATTGTGCACCCCTTATTTAATTGTTTTATTCGATACATATTTTGGTTTTTGTATAAGGAAATAAGGACACAGCCATTCTATTCAAATGGGCGGCGGGGGTTTCATTTAGTGAGCTCATTCCTTACGAAAACTTTAGTTATGAAATGTTCTCACAGGATTTTTTACTTAAAACGTCAAAAAGAGAAGTTACATTTTTTTCCTCAGATAAATAAAGATAATTAAGACTGATAAACGAAATGATTTACAATTACAGGATAAACATGCCCTGTTGTACAGTCTTCATCAACAGATCTCAAAGCATTCAAATTTATCACACTACATTGTAGAAAATAATTGTTATTGCATACAGTTTCCTGCCCAATCACTTCAAAGTCTATCAGAGCACATTTTTGACATTGCAAATCATCAGCGATGGAGAGAAAATATTCCAAAAGAATGGGCATTCCTTGAAATACAAATTAAAATGAGAAACATTCTGAGAGAATTTTAAATACTGAGAACCTTACCACTTTGCTTGATGGCGGCATCAACCAGGGGAATCCAGAAGAGAAACTGACAACTACAGCTGAGAGTGATATGTTACGATACTACCATGACGCAGGAAAGGTTCTTTATTTTAATGAGAAGGAACTTGAGCAACATATCGTTATTGATGTTCAGTGGTTTATCGACGCTTTCAAACACATCATCACCGACAAACTTCATTATAAAGGTCTTCCTGTGGCCTCTGAGGATTGGGAAGAGTTCTACAGGACAAGGAATTTGGAGGACCACCTTCTGACAGAGATATGGAGAAATGACGATAACCTTTTATCTGAAAAATTACCGACGGGTGAAAAACGGATCTTGTTAAAGACAAGGGATTCCGATCCCCGATATCTACTCTATCATAAGAACCAACTACTCGTTTTTATGCAAAGACTAGGCTTGATGGCTATCGGCAACAAATCCCACTATGTTCCGTGCATGAACAGGAAAGAAATAGAGAATGCTATTCCTGATCTCATTCAGAGAGCGACGAGTAAAACATCTGTACTTATCTACAGGTTTAGCTTCTTGCCATTTTTCCTCTTCTTCCGCCTCGTTGTGTCGTGCATGCAGTTAAAAGACTGGAAAGTATTAATCACCGATGGAACATCCTGTCTGTATAGAAATGCGGCTTTGTTCTCTGTTAAAAAATACAATATCGTTCTTTCTGTTACGGAGCCACAATACAGCTACAAATATTTCACCCTCTTCCAGGATGCTCTTTAGAAAGGGATGAAACATACAACATTCAAAATATTATAGAGGATATCTTAACGGAGATTTCGGGGACTTTTCACAGAAGGCTTTTGTATGAAAGAGGTTTCAAATGTCGGGAAGACGGGGAACAAATTATTGCTGTGGATACTGAAGGACAATTTGTGCAGGATAAATATATTTGTGAAAAAGATGGTGATATTATTTGTCCACTGCATCCAATCAAAGATCAGCATTTTATAAACACCACAGAAATATCAGAGTTTTCGAACATAATCAAACCGTGTCAGACCATCATTCGATAATACTGTTTTAAGTTATTTGTATTAGACTTTTCGGTCGGTAAAAGACATTTATTTCGAAAAAAAAACCTCAGGTAGTTTAAATTAAAGAAATCCTATGAATGATGATGAATTTACGTCAATTACATGTATTCTTGCTGTCCAATTAGACTCTGGTCATTGAACTAATTTTTTGTGAATTGTGAGAGGTCTAAGGATTTAAGGCCTAATTTTAAATTTAGTTCTCTTTTTTGTATGTCAATCTTTGTTCAGAAATTTACTTACAAAGCATTGGTTTTTTAATGTTTTTTTTTTATTTTACACCAATTAACCTCAAGATACGCTTATCACTGATAGAAATTTCCAAATAAAGTGCATGTACATGTAGATATGTAAAATTTGATGATATTATTACAGTACTGTAGTTATTTAGAGTAATAAATCGTACGAATCAAGTGAAGAACTATTGCTTGTTAAAAATAATTCAACAGAGTATTTTCATACTCAGTAACATATTTAGGTTACTAGTACTTTCCGGCAATCTTTGTCAATTCATTCCCAAATGGCATTAAACCGCTCTTGTGGTTTTTTTTTTAAATAATACCAACTTTAATTTAGCAATAAAGCGTCATGTTTTAAATTGATATATTTTAACATTTGAATTCTGTCAAAATGATATTAAAAAATCCCTTCCATATTTCATAGATTTTACTTTTGAATGAACTATAAATAGGGTTTTGTCCGTCGCTGCCAATCTCTACCCAGAGTTATCGTTCATCTTGTTGTAGCGAAGCGAACGACAACTCTGGGTAGAGATTGCGTCACCGCAAGTAAAAAATGTTACCGACTTTTTTAACGTCACTAGTACTTTTCGGCATTTATTATGAATTTATCCACATACATGTATCTCATTAAACCTTTCGGTGTCTCATTTAAATAAACAAGCTAAATTACGCTATATAGAGTCTTGTTTTCTCATAATGACATTTAAAAAATTAAATTCTGAAAAAAATGTTAATTTTATATTCATTCATTTTTTGCGTTAATATTTGTTGCAGGTGAACTGATAATGAGTGTTGAAGACAACTGTCATATATCCAAGTCTGTATCATTCTTGACGTACCGCAGTAGAAAATCATTTCTGTAGAAATTTAATTAACAATTTACAATTAATAATTTACAGGTACCTCTTGGCCATGAAAATATTTTTTTGACAGACCTCTCAATATTATAAATATATATTGGGAACACTGTCCTCATGATCGAAGAATTTGTTAAATTTAGTTGTAAACAACAAAAAAAATCTTATGAGTCTTTGCTAGGTAATGGGTATATTTACTAGGTAGCATTAGTAAATTTAGATTTTATAAATAACTTTCACTAGTATCTACGTATTTCCCCTACCTTAGCTAGTAAACGAAATGTTTACTAACAGATTTTTTTGTGAAAAGCACCGACTTTAACAGTTGACGGTTTATGCAAACTTTTAACTAATTCGGTTTTAAGCACAAAGGTACATAAATGATTATGAATAATAAAACTGGTCATAGATGTTGTGTTTTGAGGCACCAGCATGTGAAGAGCGCTATTTTAGGGTTAAGCGGTTGTCGGATCCTTTATAGGACACTTAGATATGTGCTTCAATTCAGCGTGTTATTTTCTTTCTAATTAAAAGTTGAGCGTAAAATAAACCTTAGAAAAATATACCAAGCCAGGTGAATTTTCAGAGGAAGATCAAAACAACAAAACAACAAAAAATTAGCCAAATCACATACGCTGATTTTTACCATTTAGCCTTTCTTTAAAAATTCACCTGGCTTGGTATATTTTTCTTAAGTTTATCTTACACTTTTAGCGCCAAGATAACATATTCTGAAATTTATTTTCACCTGTAAACATTTACTGAATGTGCTTTGTCTATACTTGTATTTTTTATTAAAATATTACTAATATATTTTCAAAATCTATTTCATTTTCCAGTTCTTAGGAGAAAAAATTCTAAGAACCATCCACTTTTCTAAACTTGTGACATGAAATTTAATCTTTTTCAAAGAAAAAATTTGTTTGTATCATTTTTCCTTAAGCCATTTTAATGGATTCTTAAGAAGGAGACAATTTAAAAAAAATAATCACTGGAATAGTTTTTCAAACATCATATCTTTAATAGTTTACTTTATTTATTGAACAAAAGTTAGAATATTAAAGTTATTCAAATTAAATTACACATGTTATTCAAATTAAATTACACATGATTCTACATTTTCTTTAATCGATTTAAACTCGCATTACTTTAAGTACATGTATAAGCAATTCCGCTCAACATTTGTCAACAATCTAAAATTTATAAATATCTATAAAAAGTATTTGTCAGATGTCAGAAATGGACAGTTAAGGTCACAGGAAATTGAAGGTGAAAAGTTTTAGATGCAGTTGAATAGCTCTTATAATCTACTATTACATATCGAACATTAGATTTGAGAAAAAATGTCATGATTTAAAACGGAGCTCAGGTCTTATTTTAGAAAAGAATGGTCAAGATCAAGGGGCCTTTGGACAACTTATTTTAACGGTGACTTAGCAAATTGTTTATATAAAAAGTCAATCAACATTTGACTTATTGATTTTCCTATCAATGTCATTTTATCATGTACAGAATTTGATTTTTAACGAGACTGTTGATATCATTGTTTCAACTTATTTGCCTATAACTTGCCTGATTTAGCAAATATTCATTCATGAACATAGAGCATGCAGTCTTGCAATTTTTATCAATGAAGTTGAAGACATGAACTCCATATAAAGGTGACAATAGTAAATTGCTGCATAAATAATGTATGATATACCCTGTACTATCTTATACTTCAAATTCAATGGGATATTAACGTAAGAATGAAGATGGTTGATTATTTTAATTGCTAAAAAATATTAACATAAATTTTCTCCTTTACATGTAGAATGTTTTGAAAATAATTATTTCAGATGCTAAAAATCTACTTAAAGTCTTTTTACTAAAAGTTGTATGAAAGATAACGTATATGTTGTAAAAGCATTACGTGAGTTTAACATGTTTAAGCGTCACTTAATAATTATTGATATTGTCCGCCCCTGAATGAAGCTCTGAATCCCATCTTCTTGTTAATATTATAGGATACGTAAAAGCCCTCGTTATACATTAATTAACAGTGCTTATCTTGGTCATTCTTAAGTTAACTAGTTGATTGCAGCTTTGCCCTAAATCTGGTCAGTGGGCAAGAATAAACAAAATATACATGTAACAAATTATTGTCCGTTAAATGAAGACACTGCACCTGTTGTATCTTTTCTCTCAAAGTTGATAAGTAAGTTAATAACGAGGTTTCTCTAAGCACAGATAGCATCAATTATAATTCATGAAACAATATTAAATATTTATAAATTCAATGAACAAAATCTATGTAATAGATGTAATTATTGTCAACAAATGAGACTTATCTGATATTTAAATCAAACATTTTTAAATTTAGCTCATGTAAACGCATTTTCGGATCTTTTTTTTTTTTTTTTTATCGCTGTCCACAATTATTTTCCAGATTCCTTTCGAACGTTTTTCCTGTCAATCATACCACTGTGTATGCTCCTCTCACATACTCTGTTGGACTAGAAGTCAGGTAAATAAAAAAGCAAGGCCTACTCAAGGGAGACATCACATAATAGGGCAGTTTATCTTCAATGATATCAGCTTATGTAGATTATTTCTTTTTTATTCACTTTTGGTTCTATTACAATTTTCTGTTGACTTACTTAGGTATATTACAGCCAAGCATATTTACTTATGAAAAGGGAACTTTTTACTTAAAAATCTAAAAATCAATGAGTTATGAGTTCTGCAAATATTCTGTATATTTCCTTATGACTACTGTATATATTATAGGAATGATAAAAAGCAATCTTTGTTGAATCGGTAACATGCATTTTTATTTGTATTTAAGACTTTTTTCCTATGGTTACACACAAAATTTTTATATACACACTTCCGTACAAGTATCATTTGATCCATATTTTGTTAACTGGGTCTTGATGTTGAGAGGACTTAGACTATTCATCACACTTCTTTGATAGCATCGATATAAGTTACGATAACAGTAGTCCTGTCTTAGAAAATAAACTGGTAAAGTAGAGGGGGATTCCTAAATGTATTATGTGATTGATAAATGAATGTTCCTCTACCCCATTTAAGGATTTTTCGACCAGATTAAGAAATCATCCACTTAAGGTCAAGTGTTTATGCATAGTTGCATTAATAACCAACGCCCAACGCAGGACGGGACCCTTTTTGTAATAAAAAAGAAGATAATATCCAAAAGACCGATGACATTTACTTTAAATGCTAAAGACTTAGGTAGGGAACTGCCACTATCCATGTTAAACAAGTTTTTGACGATGCACTGGGAAAGAGACTGAATTAAACCTACAGGTTTCAAGAAGGGGAAAGGAGCATCAAACCCTAAGGGTCCATTTTGTACATGGGATGTTGTAGAACTCTTGAGTCCGTATACTAGTATATACGAAAACTTCAGAATCTGGTATGCATAGTTGAAGGAACTGTTAAAATTCTGCTCCATTTTATGCTGTGCCTTTAGACACGAGGGGGGGGGGGGGGGGGTGTATAAACTTTTTTACATGTAAATACATAAAGTTTAGAAGGCATTTTTAATTGAATATATCGAGTAATTGAATAGAAGCAAAGTCGTTTTACGAGGCTATTTCATTTTCCTATGAGATGTATATTTAATGCAACCGCTCTGAGTTATATGTATTGACTATTTACATGTATATGGATAATCAACATTTACTTGCATTGATATTCTAATGCTGTTAATTCTTTATTTATTTTGCAATTGTTGAATTTATTTTCTGAGTTACTACTTCAGTTTTATTTAATCACAATCAAAATCCATTCAGTGCTTTCAACATTTGATACATAACTTTCAGAGTTCAATAGAAACCTAGAAACCTCATTTCTAACATGTTATTCTATGCGTAAAATATGTACCACATCTATAGAAATGATATACAATTACAATATGATTATATATGATATAATTCGTTTCAATAAATTGCAAATCAATTTTTTTCAGCATCATAACGTGTGAATTTCGTAAAGATTTGCGTTCAAAATACGCAAAATGTGGATGCATTAGAATTCTTGTCATAAAAAATATTTTAAACATTAAATTTTAAAAATCTTCGAATTTATTACTTAGGTCTGATGTATTTCCGACATAAATAAACAACTTTTGATCATTTACATTCAGAAAATGCATAGAAACTTGATTTAAATAGACCTACCCTCAATTTTTCTTTAACTGACTGCCATTTTTTTTATCTCTAAATCACGTGACTTAGATGATCGATGTTGAAAAACAAACATCAAAATCATGAACTAGAATGATTATAGTTATATAAAATCACATTTTAAAGTGATTTTATCGTAGGCCAGAAAATGGCCTCATAGAGAATGAACCTTTTCTCTCCCCTAATTGATCCTTGTCTATTAAAAACTTTTTATGTCATTGGGGCCATCTTGCTGTGCGTATAAGATCGCATTTTAAATCTGTATCTAACCGAACTATATGGTTCAATACAGCAGAATGGATTTAAATATATTCTATACATTAAAGAACAGTTGTTGCGCTATTCACAAAGACAGTAACACGAATATTTAAACATGGTGAAGGTTACTTAGGACACTTTGAACGTCAGGGGAACGAATCACTCGTCTTTTGTGGAACAATGAAAAACTTTATCTTTAATTAAATGGCAAAGGAATGACTTTGTAAGGTAATTTTGATAAAGTGTATTACTTGAATTACTTTTATTTTATATACTAAATGCACATCAAACTCTGCTACTTTGATATTTTATCTACTTTCGTTTTAAGTTCATGTACGTTGGCCTTCCTTAAACTTACACGATTTAACAAGTGGAAAATGTTTTCCTTTTTTAAGGTTTTTTTGTATAACATGCCTCTAACATACAATTTACAAAATGAAAACAGCAAAGCCATGTTATATTTGGCCGAAACACTGGTGCTTGAGGACAGTATAAACCCAACTCCATATCCACCTTTCGCTCGAGCTCCTTCACATCGAATCTACCATAGGGGTTCAAACATATATCTCTATATTTTACAATGTCTCAAAAAAAATACAATCATTTGATACAATGATAGTTTAAGAAGTATTTTCATTAATAATATACAAAGAAGTGAACAATATAAATATGGATTGAAGAGGAGGCCAAGGGCCTATATTAGTTCTCTCAATTTGAGATCAAGGTACAAATTACTATAGGGTGAGTTCACCATGCATCGGACACATACCTTGCTTCGGACAACTTTAGGCAATTAATTCTCTTTCAACTTTAGAGTTCTGTGTATCTATTTGTTTCTGTCACAAAGATGAAGATTTAAATTTTTTAATGATACCGATTGTGTCTATCATGTTGTGATAAAAATACCCCGCAAATGGCCTTGAAGTTACGTCATATTTTACATCATCAAAGGGAAATAACCCGAAATTTATGATTTTGCAATTTTTAGAGTTATCGTTCTTTTAAATTCGACTTCCACGGAACGAGTCAGACTTTGGTGAATTTTGTCAGGGATTGGTAATTTTACATAGATTATAAAGAAATTTCACTTTAATTTTTGTTTAATTCTTATTAGAGCTGGTTTTTACTAGTATGCTAATTTCACCGCACATCGGACACAAATTAATCATGCATCGGACACTTTTCTATGCAAAGGTAAGCACTACCATTTTCATTCAGACCCCAGCTGACAGCTGTTTTTTGCGGGAAAAGAAAATAAAAACTCAATTTTTTCAGTCAAAATACAAGTTATCGATATATGACGTCTGGAATTTGACTCAATTTATTTCTACAAACCAGAGTATGATAAATCAGGAGAAAAAGGCGCGAATTACTGCATTTTAAAGCATTTCCAAGGCAGAGTGAGGTCTCTAGAATCTTTCTACATTTGTGCAATAATATCACCGATAAAATTTAAGTTGAGTGTTATTTCTTTGATAAAAGATTAAAATATATCCATATCAATGATTTTAAAGCACTGTGATAAAGGTATGATATTTTTCCGGTCTCCATACCGTCTGTCCGATCCATGGTGAATTTTCAGTTTTTCCTAAAAACTCGATTTTTGGCAATATTTTCTCAATAAACGGCAGATAATTGTGTCCTAAATTAATATTTTAATCACAATCAAAATTTTAAGCTCCATTTTGATAATTTTCCGTCGGTAGCGATATCGCTAGAACTTGTTGAAATACAAGGGTATCCGATGCATGGTGAATTCATCCTATATATTTTCAGTTCCATAAAACATGTATTATAAATTAATATTAAGAGAATTATAAAGAGTTCATAATTGAAGAAGGATTGAGGGAAAAATGCGTAAAGAAAACAATAAAATAAATAAATTAAATGAATGAAAAAAAAAAACAAACAAAAATTCAATTAATAAAAATTTGGAGAGGAAGGCTCAGACCAACACTTGAATGTTTATGTGTACTTTCAACCTAAAGGTCAAGATTAAAAGACATGCTGCACATTATTTAATATATTTTGTATTTCTAAAATCTGTTAGTGTTTTTTATAAAATTATAAACTTGGTCAAAGAATAACATATTTTCTCTAAGAGGTAGACAATCATAACCTGATAATACAATATTGACATATCTTGGTATGTCATGGTCAATCATGTATGTAATTAAAGAGTTCCTAGTGGCAAAATCATAACATGGGCATTGAAAGAAAAAATGAACAGAGTCTTAAATCAATTATCACATTTAAGCTTTAGGTGAGTCAAAGTTCTAAGTTATGATAAAACAAATCTGCATTAAGATTACTAGAGAAGTTTCTCAACTGAGAGTGGAGACAGTATACTAAGTATTCAATTTTCTTTGTCCATTACTGTATAATTTGGATTTTGTTTTATCTTTAAGATTTTTATTCTGCACACACTGTTTAAACTTTGCTACACTTGTTACAGATTTCAAGCTATCTGGCAAAACATTCCATAATTTAATTGTAGATGGTAAAAAGCTAGTGTAATATGCAGCTGTTCTAATGATTGGTAAGTGATACATGTACAAATTATTGCTTAAGGCGTAACTATGTGAAACAGGTAGGCATTGATTGACCATTTCTTGCAAATATTCAGGTGTATAATCATTAAATATTTTGTACATAAGTGTAAGCTTATGTTAAGTTCTTCCTTCACAAATCGTTTGCTATCCTAATTCATTACACAATTTTTGTTTCGAAAGATTGCGTCTTAACCCAGTAGTGATACGTCCAGCCTCTATTTGCACGCTCTCTAATAGATTACTCTGTTCCTGTGTGCAATTATCCCACACTGCATTTCCATATTCTAAAATAGGCCTTATAAAAGCAATATATATACTAATAAGGGTATCTGTTTAACTTGTATTTAAAGGTTCGAAGAACATTTAAACTTTGACATGCTTTATCATAAATACTGAATATGTGCTCAGACCAACCGCCAATACAATGATATGAATATAGGAAATAATTCCTCACTTTAAGCTAAGTGACAACAGTGTTATATTTTTCAGGTTTTTCTTTATTTTCATTATTCAAGTTTCAATATCTTTCCAGGAGAAATGGATGTGAATTCATGTCCCAAGAACATTACAGAGGTTTTAGAGTCCTCCTCCAGGCTGGGGTGTGGTCGGGACAAATATGGGAGCGACCAATATCTCTGTGTCCCTAACACAGACAAAACAGGACTTATAGAACTATGCTACAATGGAACCATGGGGTTAATAAAAAGAGGTGAGTAATAAGAAATTTAACGTAAAACACATTTCTATGGTTTATGTTTCAAACGAAAACCAACGAAAATCGAAACATCTTAGAAAGTATTCTTTGATATACACTAGAATATATTTTATTTCTTACGTGTTTGCATAACAATATACTTGATTAGGCAACTGTTTGGAAACCGATGGAGAAAATCTTCACTGGAACAACTGCCTTGGATTTTTATCAGGTTGTC